GGGTGGGGGGGAGGAATACTTTAAAAGACCACAGCTTCTGAGAGCCTAGGTGTTCCACTTGTGGTGGTCCTTTCTTCTGAGACCCTCCCTTGTCACAGACCAAGTGGAAATTTTTTTTCTGGGACCTACCATAGTTGTCCAAAGAAGACACAAGGAACCACAATCCTTTCAAGGAAGCCGAGGCTGTCTATTTGCAGGGTGGCTCAGCAAGGCTGGGGTAGGAGGTGAGTGTGGTACTGCATGGAGAGCTTTATTAGGGGAGACCGAGAAGATCCAGCCCAGGTGTTTAAAGCCCTGATAGAAGCACCTTGGAGTAGAGTAGCTAAGAGTAGCTGGAAGAAGTTAAAGCACATCAAACTCCCTATTCAAGCTGCCAGCACTGCTGTTCTGCTGTTGTTATTGGATTAGAGGCACCCCCACCACCCTGAAACCTCTAAAACCTCACTGGGGAGGGGTAAATACTTCAGAGACTGAGGCTTGGTTGGTCAACCCCTCTGTCCCAGTGTAGTCTAGAGCTCAGTTCTTACATTGCCTTGCAAGGTCTCTCATCCAGGAGCTGAGGGGCTCAGACAGAAGTCCTGGACTGTGCACCGATTCACTTCACCTCTCCCAACTCAGGCTTCCCCTTCAAAAGGCTGCGTGAACACTTCACCCCAGCAGACAGCTAGGTTCAGCTGGATGCCAACAAGCGTTTCCTAGAAGCAGCCAGCCCTCAATTCCTCCTTTCTGAAGTCACTGCTGAAGGTCAGGCCTGAGAAGAAAGCACGGGTTTTAAAGCTGTCACAGCCCTCCTCGGGGTCCTGAGGGTATGAGGCTGCAGAGAGTGACACGTGGCCCTTCTGGGCTTGCTTTCCAGATTTCAGCCATATGATGCATTCTACTCTAAAGTATGTGCTGGATTTTTAACAACTAGGACAAGAGGCAAGGAGCCAGGATTCTCCCCCTAGGTGTGCCCCGAAGCTGCTGAGTTAGCTGTTTTATGATTTCAAGTTCCAGATGAGAGAGAAAAAACAATGTCTCCTCTTTCCAATCCAATGTATGTTAGCAGAAACTGCTCAGAATGTACAGAGCCACAGATCCTTTTTTAAGTGTCTTTCTCCTCTAGCATCTCCTTCTAGTCCCCCCCAACAGTTCTACATAGTTGGCAAGGCAGGATGGTTTTTATTCGTGGCTGAGCAGGCTGTGGTTCAGAGAAGTGGCTTATTTGATGACCCAGTCACACCTGGCCACAGAGGCAGGCCTATGGCACACTTCACCTTGTTTGACCCGCTGGTCATTGCTTCTTTTCTTTCACCTGAAGCTTAAACACTGATAGCAACCTTTGCTGAAATTGTCTTATCTCCAGTATAGCAGTCATTGTATTTCACAGCAGGGAACCATTGTTACACAGGTGTCCTTGTAGAGTAGCAAGCAGGCATTGACACTCCCACTGCGCTCAGCATCTGAGGAACTGACAGAACTGGCCGAGAGGACAGGTGGTCTGGTCAGTAGTGTCCCTATACTCTGAGAACAGGCTCAGGAGAGAACTGATGAAATGGGGTCTAGCAAATCACTCTCTAAGAGAGAGTGCTGAGTGAAGGGGGAATGGACTTCCCTGCTAATTACACAGTGTGCACTCCTTCAGTTTTTATGGAGGTGGTCCTCGTCGACAGTTGGGAAAATGGAGGGAAAGCCTCCATTCTTGCCAGAGATTTCCGAATCCTTGGCTTATGCAGCCCAGATGCCACAAAGTTTGTAAAACCCATTTAGGGCTTCAAGTTTATTACAATCATCCACAGATACATGGTAAATCAGGTGCAGACTGGACATAGCACCTTTCTGCTGTGTGGTGGGTGGCTTTTTCAGGTCAAAGGCTTTCTTTGTCTTCAGTTGACACAAAGCCAAATAGTCTAGAAGGTGTGTGACAGCTGTCAGTTTCCCAATTCCAGCCCTTCTCATTACCTCAGAGGCCAGGCCTGTCAACAGTTCTTGGTCTAGACTTCATTGCTGTTGTCTCCATCACTTGCAATTGTACACTTGCTATGATTTCCTAGTCTATGTACTTGTTGCAACAGTGCGTTTGGCCTACCTTCCATCTGCCTAACCAGGGCGGAATCGCTGGCGATATACGAACTCACTTAAAGCTCAACTGAAACAGGTGAGTGGCCAGCTCATGTTGAGCAGCCCCTCCTGAGACTCTGGCTACCTAACTCCTTTCATCTAGCATCCATGCGGCACATTCTTAGGCAGAACTAAACTGACTGGAAGGAGACAATCAGGCAGACCGTAGGGCGATTTTTTAAGACACAGGAAGCAGTTACAACATTGAAAGCGAGTCTTTAACATGTCTTGAGAGGTCTAGAAGGCTGGAGACACTGGATCATGCTGGAGGCATGGCTCTTCAGCACTGAGAGAACTAAGGGGCCCTTGTTCAAACG